CCTCCTTCTCCCTCGTGCCGTTTTGTTGTTGGGCATATACCGGTTGTTATCGGTCTTGTTCTGTAGACTAGTCTAATGCCTTCTTCGAAGCTTATTTGTTCAACTTCTTGCGCTTTTCTCTCAGCTCAGGCCATGCGATAGACCGAAGTATTGATTTTCCCAGACGGTCTCTTGGTAACACTAGTCCATGAGTCAGCCTCCTGTCGATACCCTCCGGCCCACTCTCAACCGTGAACGTCAGATTCATCGTGGACAAGGATGAAGAACGCTCGGAGGTGAAGGTGCAAGAGGGTCCCGAAGGGTTCCCGTTCCTGTACGGCGAGGAATACAACTTCAAGTACAGCTTCAAGCTTATTGAGGACATGAAAGTCGCCACCCGCTATACCCACCTCGGCCAGGTATGACCTTTCTTGCACCCCCTCATCCGTCCTGCCTGCTATAAGTATAAACAATTTCAGCAAACGAGGAAGATGATGGCGCCGATGGTTTACCTCGCCGGTGAAACATCCTCTTCACGGCCCGCTCGATGGTTCTACCGGACAAGGCATGCAAGACATGCGTACGCCCACCCCCCGCTTGACCCAACGCGCACCTCTTTGACAAGTCGCACATTGACATTGAGGACCCTCAATAATTTCACCACTTGGACCCTCAAGGCTACACAAAAGGCCCGCGTGTACGATGTAAGTAACAGCCAGGGAGTCAAGTCTACATCCGCCATCAACGAGATGCTTGCTGCAATCGACAGGGATTCAGGCGAATTTGCGGTACATAGATGACCAGCTCCTTGAACGTCGCCGACGCAAGCCAAACCAAAACATGTCAACTGCCCGCAGGTCAGCCTGGGTTTGATTCACCAAGCATAGACTATGTATCATGATAACAATATCAACCGATCCCCTTCGACTGTGGTTTCATCTCGAACGGGTGGTTGTTCTTCGATCGTTGTAAGCATAAGTTTCCTCATATAGTCTACGTCGCCGTTGCTTGGATTGAACACTGCTATCCCTTCAGCTCAAGGGCTCGGCGGGTGGCTACATGATCAAGGGCGACCCGATCTACTCCCTCACCGCCAACAAGCACGGGCTGCACGTTCGCTTCAGCAACTTGGAGACCATCGAAGACTACCATGACGGCTTGGACATGCCGCTGGATTGGGATGCCGTCACGGGGGAGTGGGTGCACGTGGAGATCATCACCACCTTCGGGAAGTCCATGGTGGTACGTCGAAACGACTTTGTGAAACGTCATTTTAGTCGTGTGACTTAAATAGGACGTTCTTGACAGGCCGATCGACCGGTGCAACACAACATGAGCATGCCATGAGTATGACAGGAGGGTAAAGCAATGTCCGCAATAAGTGTGTAAACCCTGCAACACAACATGAGCAGCAACTGAGCAGGTGCGACGAGATGGTCTCGGCTGTCAGGCGCGTGCTTTGTCTTGCGCCGAAGGTTTTGACACGACAAGGCTCTTCACCTCTTGCAGCCGCGCCTTTGAACAAGTACGTTAGAATGAGGAATGAGTACCTTGATTTTAGCAGGTCCCGGCAAACATTTTCTTCGCGCCTTCGGAACAGGTCAACATCTCCGGAGTGGCCTTCCAAAACATACGTTAGGTGATTACCTTGATTTCCTGTATTTCCCTGGAATCTTTTTATTCGCCTGTTGACAACAGGTCAACATCTCTGGAGCCGTCAGCGGAACGGCTGTCTGGCCGAGTGACCTTAAGCCCGTGGCCTGGCACCGCGACTCCGAAATGGTCCGGATGAAGCTGGGTCTCTACCATTCCATTCACAATGTACGTCTCCCTACCCTGCTTCACTTGGATGCCCGACCGGCCGCCTCTAGAATGTTGTCTTCGGGCTAGTAAATACTATTCCACACGTTCAATGTACTTGAGGAAGCACCGTCCTCCATATTTCGCCACTCAATATCGGCGACGTATGATGGAATTGGCGGTAGTAGCGGCATGATACCAGTTTGTGGGTATTGCAAGGCCGCAGTCTCGTTGGATGATGTTCGGGCGAAGAGCAGTATCGAGCGTGTTTTCTTTTGTTTTTGTGAAGCTTTGCGTCATTTGATGGTCTCGAAGGTGAAACTTGATTGGCGACTCTTATTCAAAGAACGGCGATCCTGTGCTCAACACAGCCTTACAGGAACATGATGTTCGGCAAAAGAACACGCGTCTTCTCTTCCTTAATCTTGGTATCTTGGTGACTATCATGTAAACCTACAAAGGTTGCGACGAACCGGCTATTCTAATGTGTGGTGTTGCCCTTTTGCTTCTCGCATACACTACATTCCATCCGGAGGCCGAGGACGAATCTAAGGAGTTTTCCACCTGTGTTACCTAGTCGAGGCACCAAACAGACGGCCCATGCATTTCTGGCCAAATTATCTCCAAAACAGATCATGATCCACCACCGAAACCGAAAAGAAAGCTCAAGATCCACCGAAACCGACAACGTGCATCGATTCACCCATAACTCCGCAGGTTCATGACCAGGAGGTTATCTACCGGGACATCTCGATCGAGGGACCGAACGGGATCATCCGGACGAGCCCTCCCTCGGACATCCACATCCACCCGTGCCGCACCTTTGGCAGTGTGAGTATAGTCTGTTGTCGCGGTGTCTTGATCTCGCGGCCGGGAAGACCCACATTTCATCCCGTGTTGAAGTACAGTGGTGGCTCCGATAGAGGGTGGTGTGACCAAGGCCCTCGACCCTCGTATGTCGAAGCCCCCTCTTATACCGGAGTGTAAGAGGGTACCTAGCTATACTAAAGCGGGTGGAGTCCGTGACAAACCCATTTCGACCCTCTTATTTCATTCTTCTTCCCGTTTGTCTGCGGGACCAATGCCGCCGCCGTCTCGCGTGCCTGCATTCCTCCTGCCCATCCCATCCAAACGGGACAGTGCCCAAGGTCAGTAACCACGTGCCCGCCCTCCAGCGGCAGTACGATCGACTGGAACTGCATGTTCGGCGTCGGCTCCCTGGTGGAGGTCGAGGCTCGGGGAGGGAAGCTGGTGTCGTGTCCTTCCGGCACGGACGCTGAGCCTTGTTCGAGGTAACTGTTTGTCATAGCCTTTGAATTTGTGCATTGTCTAAACACTAAACTCGAGGCATTCGCCTGGTTCGCCGTAGCCTTGCAATCCGTTGTCTAAATGCATTACCCATCGCCTGTTTTACATCTAGTGCATGCATAAACCTTTGGCTCAGTCTCAGTGACAAGCTCCCCCGATCGCCGACACAGCCGACGCTGCCTTCTGCCTCGCAGTGGATCCCATGGAGAGACCAGCGTTTTTGTTTCGCTTTAGAGTAAGAGTAAGAATACTTCCGTTGTTCCGGTCGTTCGCTGCGAAAAGCGAGCGGACGCGCTCTTTTGGGGCCCGCGCTCACGCCCCCGCCTTGGCACTTCACGTGTCCTTCTCTCTCCACCTCTCACGGGCAGTCTGTTTTCGCTTGCTATGTATGGGCGGAGCAAGCGGAGATTTGGTGTGCTTCACGTTGTCTTATCAAATGGATCCGCATTGCGGGGTCGGCTCAGGTCCTTTACATGGGGCCTGCTTCCCTGCCCACTGCCTGTCATTGGACATTGTGCATGTCTGAGCGTGTGAATCGACCTTTGCCCACGCTCTCTCTCAAACGCGCGTCTTGTTTCACCTTTTAGATCTTGGTAAGCACGCGCCCGGCATTGAGTGTGAAGGAGACGAAGAATCCCGAACGGCGCCATGTTGGCTGTTCAAAACCTCTGGCCGTGACGTGATGTATTCTTTATCCATGGCCCTTCCGTTCCAGGCCATGGAACATATTAGAAAGAAGCATGTCATCCTGTACGGTGTGCGACCCGTTCGGTCTCTTGTTTTTTCACCAGGTTCATCGTTCCCAAGGAGAAAGAGCGCGCAGAAGCGCAGAAGGGCGTCGGGGGTTTCCAGTTCGCGAAGGGTAAGCCCCGCTCCAGCATGGCCCGACGAAAGCAGCGTCGGATACAAACGTTCTACTTCAGATTCAGCTTGCGCTTTGCGTCCAGGTGTTTTTCGATTGAAACGAATCTCGTCGCTCTCTCAAGAGCGGGTGACTAGGAAGCGAGAGGCGAGCATCAGTAAACTTACCTTCTTGGCACACACATGCTTCGTGCTCTCTTTGTAGGGTTAAGTGTCCTGCATTTACCTCCGGTCAAGTGGCGCGTATCGTTAAGTTGCGGTAAATGACGATACACGCCCAGACTTTACAGACTGCAGCGTACCGCGGTTGGAAAGGACGTGTCGTGTCATCTACCGCAACCTCAATATAAGCGCCACCTTTGATCGGAGATACTGTAGATGCAGGAAAAACTCCTCAAGAGCAAATGGTAGCTTTAAGGATAAATGGATTGACCACGAAGCATGTATCTGCCAAGAACCTCAACCTTCAACGGGGATGCCATACAGATGGGCTGGGGAATACATATTTTTGCGCCTCCTTTTTGGCTAAGTAGGAAGAAACGGTTGACCATCGGTGATGGGTCTTGTGCGGAAAAATGTCCCGTCCTCTCCAGGACGCGTGGTCAATGGTCTAACCGCTAAGGCATGCATAACACGACGAGTACGCCCCCCCGGTTTCCTGCCACACCCTGAAGGCGAGACGTACATCTTCAAGTACAGCTTTAGGGCGAAGGACGGCATGAAGGTCTCCGGCTCCTCCACCCGGTTGGGTCAGATGAAGGGCGTTTCGGGCGGCTTCCAGCTCAAGGGAAATCCCCTGTTCTCCGTCACGGCCAACAACAACGGGATCAACGTCCGCTTCAACAACGAAGACGACGACAACGTCGAGGGTATGGACGAGTTCCTGAGCTGGGAGGACGCCACAGGAGAGTGGGTTCACGTCGAAATCCAGACGACCTTCGGGGAAGTCCATGGAGGTGTGTGTGTGTTTGCGTAGGTTGCGTGATATATTACACATGCCCCGGGACGGACAAGTATCAATACTCTGCGTCACAAAGGCTAGTTGTGCTGAAAATGGTGTTGGGACCGACCGTGTTGTCGAGAGCTTTCCAACAACGTGTTGCTTGACGTTGGCACCCTCGTCGTTGTGGAGTGATGGACCTTTGGAAAAGGTCGTGGTATCTTCTGCAGTCCATGGTTTGCGCTGCCTCTATTACGCAGTGCACATTGAATATCCAACGAGACTACGTGTCGACATCATCATATCAAGAAGCGTGTACTGAGCATATTCCCCAAGGGAAACCGGAGTTGCACCACACCATGTGCTCAACATACCGTAGTGGCAACTGATGGTGGGAATGTGTGGGTCTATGACAACGAAGGACGCTCATAGGATCGTACCGACGTGTTGCGTGGGAAGCAGGCACTTTCCCCCAACATTGTCCGCAGACAGAGATGGTTTCTCAGTCAATCTGGATGTTTTGGCAATAAAATGTCCATTCGTATGAGATGCTGCTAGTTCGGGAGTATTGCTGACATATCAATGCCACCTTTCCTACGAGCTCAATCTGATAGAGCGATAATTTGAGGCGAGACTCGCTACACCGCCCGCCTCGTCTGTCTCTGTGTAAACCCTTACCCTTACCCCTTACCCCTACCCTAACCCTCACCCTATCGCAACAAAGGTCTACTTCTCGGGCGCGGTGAACGGTAAGGCGGTGTGGCCTCCCAGCTACAAGCCCGTCGCCTGGAACGACGACGCCGACACGATAATGTTCAAGCTCGGCCTCTACCACATCAAGAACAAGGTGGGGTGCTCGTAGGGCAGGATATTCCTGGGCATTACGCGATCTTTGGACGGTGTGGCAGCTTTGATGTGCCCCGAGACGCTGCGAACGATCAAGCTGCTCGTCGTGATGTTTGTTCCACTTGAAAATGTGCCAAAAGATCACGGAAAGGAAAGGAATTCTGCTGCTGCTGATGGGTGACAAACAATACAAACCTAGTCGAAAAGTATGGAACAGCTGTGTCGGCGTGTACTCTCCGTGTGCCGCCTGTGAGATCTGTTGCGCTGAGATTTTTTCAGTAAGGACCAACGTATCCAAGGATGTTAGACAGGACTTGGCGGCAGTTCCTGGTTAATGCATTTCTTGATATTGTATCAACTTTCATCGTATGGGCAGGAGACTAGAAATTCCCGTGCGTGCGCTCGAAACGAACTCCGCTTCTTCCTCCCTCGACGGCCGCTCTAGTCCGTCAACAACCAATCGCTCTATCCCTCCTCCGAAGGTCGCCGACGGGGAGGTGGAGTACAAGAACATCTCCATCCAGGGTCCCAACGGACTGCTCAGGACAAGCTCCGTCGGCGACATCAACCACCGCCCCCCCCAGGGCATCACGTCCCTCGGGTGTGTGAAGGACGCCCGTCACGACCGTCTGCTGGACAACATCTACCGCTTCGAAGACTTGACGCCCGAGGTGAGGCGGTTGCCTATCAGAGGGGGTACACCACAATCTAACCCTGACCCTAACGATGACGGTGAAGATGGCGGTGTTGGAATCGTCTCGTCGAGAGTTTTTCGAAAACGTATTATTTGATTTCGGCATCCCCTTCGTCGTGAAGTTTGGCCCAGGGGTTGTATTTTTCTTGCGCGACAACCGGAAGCCGTCATGTTGGGCGCGCCCAGATGCAACAGTGTAGTAGTTCGATTATTGGTTACCATTTTTCGTCGTTGCCATGTACCCGGAAAGGGGTGTGGATGCACACGGCAACGACGCGTGCTAACGTGGTTGGTTCGGTTGAGTTTGGTAGTTCGTCTTCTTCCATTTCCTTCAGGTTGAACCGCGCATGATCAAGATGCTTGGTTCCTCGAAACGTAGTATTCGCCTAACATCGCCTCACATGGTACCCATCGCTCTTTGCCAAGGAAGACCTGTACCACAATTAAGAGCTCCTGCACTACGTCTCTCCCGCCTGCCCTTTCGTTGTGTAAGACGGTTCCTGATCGTCCCCTTGTTCCGTTGTTTTTCGACGCTTCACCGTCGCGTAAATTTGAAAGAAATGCTCCAAGTACTGCGAGAGCGAGTCCTTCTTCGGAATGCAACACGGTATTGAGGTGAGTGGCTTTGGACTATTGCGAGCAACCATAGTACAGTGGCGGCTACGTTTCAAGATAGGGTCGTGACAAGTCAGAATCTTATCTTAAATCCGATGTTCTCTTAAATCGTACTGTGACATTTCTCATGGTCGTGACAAGCCTTGACTCTCTTCAATTGGTACTTTCTCTCAAATAGTCTTTTAAACAGTAGCCGCCACTGTGAACTGTTCTTCTCATTCGAACGCACCGAAGAGAGGCCATTGGTAGCTTGTGGACCAATGTGGAACGTCACAGGGTTTCTGATGACGTTGCTGCCCTGCTTGTTTACTCGCTCGAACCCAAGCCTCTGGTTTGTGTCATCAATGCATTGGGGCAGTACTGACTCATTAGACATGTGTTTGAGGCGTCCCCCGCGGTGTTCGCTCCGACGCTAACCCGCAATGTCCCTCAGGGTGCCTCGTGGCTAACCCCGCGTAGGCTACTGCCGCAGTATTATTCATGGTGGACAACATGACAATAAGGGGGGACAATAATGTCTCTCGACCGCTGCTTTGCGGCGCCGCCGCCCTTACAATCACCATTCGCTCAATGTGAAAATTGTAGCCGATCAGCGATTCGTTACCTCTAAACCAGCTCATGAAACGTATCACCTCACTCTGCTCCGTTCGTCATCGCACTCCACGCTCGAGGACGCGTGTTCTCATCGCTACAAGGCATGTAAAACATGAGTACGCCCCCCCTTGCGGCCCAACGCTCTCCTCGAACTGCAACAGTGCTGGTGCGGCACCGGTGCTGGCGAGGTCGTCGAGGGCATGTTCCGTCACGGCTCGGCCACCTGCAACATGGCGTGCTCCGGAGACAAGGACAAGACCTGCGGAGGTCCGTAGGCCATGTCTCTGTACCAGCACGGCAGCGCCAGCCCCGCCGACATCCCGGAGGGAACCAGGTACCTCGGCTGGTTCAAGGACAACCGGTTCAACCGGGCGCTGTCCAAAAAGCAGACGTCGAGCAACGACATGACGCTTGAGGTAGGTCACCGTTCACACGCCACCGGCAACATTCGTTGTTGCCCTTCGAAAGGACGCCAAGCAATAGACTTGAAGAGTTTGACATGCCAGGGACGTCACGTTGTTGTGCGAAACGACCTGTCGCTTCAAAGCTTGTCGCGCGGCGTCGAATGCGGTCGCATCCTATGCTTTCTTCGTCACGAACTCCCCGTATGTTCTTGTGTTGGGCTCTTGGCAGTGCGTGCTTCATGGGACCCAACCCTAACAACCCTGTAACCCTAAGCCTTCCACCCGCGGGACCTCCACAAGTTGACTTCCCGGGTAGAGTACCGGAGCTCGTAGTATCATGAATACCGGTAGTCTCTTCGCCGCCGAACTAAGCCAATGGTATGTCCATCCATTCTCTTTGCAGTTGTTGTCAACCGCGATTGATCCCCCTCCTGGCCAATGGCCTAACCGCTACAGCATGCGAAACATGAGTACCCCCCCCCCCCCCCCCCCCCCCCCCCCCCCCCCCCCCCC